CATAGAAGCAAAAGCCGCCAACACAGAACTTTACTTGCTTACTTGGTATGAGTCGAGTGGATGAAGATAGTGATTTTTGTATTGAAATCAAGCAGCTCTCCTGGTTCAAATCCACCTATACTACTATTTACTAGCTTATGGGCTCCCCTGGTTGCTCAGCTGATAAAGAATTTGCCTGAAATGCAGGAGATCCCGGTTAGACTCCTGGGTCAGGAAGATCCCCTGTCCGAGGGATAGGCTACCCACTCGAGTATTCTTGGTCTTTCCTAGTGGCTCAGATGGTAAAGAATCTGCCTGCAATGTGGGAGACCTGGGTTTAATCCCTGGGTTGGGAAGATCCCCTGGAGGAGGAAATGGCAACCTACTCTAGTATTCTGGCCTGGAGAATCCCCATGGACAGAGGAGCGTGGTGGGCTACAGTCTATGGGGACGAAAGAGTTGGACATGACTGAGTGACTAAGCATACACACACACACACACACACATTAGCTTGTCTGATTTAATATAACTCATCACAGTCTTCCCAAGGAACCTGCGAATGTTCAAGTCCCAGGTGAAGCACCAGAAAATACAGAGATCCCACAGTATAGAGGAGACTGAATCCAGGGGTCCACATATCATAAACTCTATGTAAGTGTAACCTTTATTGTTTGAACACCACTCAACAAACACATCTAGAGACTCAAGACACTAATGCAATCTCCCCCACACTACCTCTTCACACCTATACACACACAAACTGAGTTCTCATTTCCTTCTGCTTTCATCTAGAAAATGGGTCTCTCCACCCTCAGGCTGGAGCCAGGCTGACCTCCTGCACTCTGGGGTTGCAGCGGTCTCTTTGGGAGGATGTGAACTCAGTGTCCAGTCTCCTACAGAAGAGGGTGGCCCGAGACTTACTGGATCCTTGGAGCAGAGCCTGGAGCACTGGGTCAGTCAGGGAGGCTGAGGTTAAGCCGTGCGGGGTTGGAGCTGAGACATCTCTAAAAACTGAAGCAGGGAGTCCTGAGCACAGAAGACAGTCCTTACTCCTGTGTTATTGGGGTGGGGCTGGGGCTGGGTAGGCGGGGAGCAGTGTTGCTATCAGCTCTTGACACTTATGTGGTTACCCTCAGAAGGAGGTTCTGAGAGGTCTTTTTTTATTGTGACAAAATACCTATAACATAAAATTGACCATTTAAACCATTTTTAAGTGTCTAGTCATGTTAAGCACATTCATATTTTGTGCAACCAAATTCCAGGACTGTTTTCATCTCACGAAAGTTCATCTCCATTCCTGTTCAACAACAATTCCCCCTTTCTCCTTTCCCAGTTCCTGGCAATTACCCTCCTCCTCTTTGTGTCTATGAATCTGACCATTCCAGATACTTCATTTAAGTAGAATCAGAATATTTGTCATTTCCTGCCAGGTTAAGTTAGCTTAGTGAAAAGTCCACCAAGTTCTTTCATGTTGTAGCATGTGTTGGAATTCCCTCCTTTTTAAATGATAAATAATACTCTATTGTTTGTACCTATCCCATTGGCTTATGCATATGTTGGTCAATGGGCACTTGGGTTGCTTTCATGTTTTAGTTTTGTGAATAATGCTGCTATGAAAATGAATGTACAAATACCTCCTCCAGAGTGTGCTATCAATTGTTCTGGTATAGCCTCGGAAGTAGAGCGAGCTTACCTGGTGGCTCAGACAGTAAAGAATCTGCCTGCAATGTGGGAATACCCAGGTTCGATCCCTGGGTCAGGAAGATCCCCTGGAGAAGGGAATGGCTACCCTTTCTAGTATTCTTGCCTGGAGAATTCCAGGGACAGAGGAGCCTGGCGGGCTACAGTCCATGGGGTTGGAAAGAATCAGACACGAGTGAGTGACTAACACTCTCTCTTTCGGAAGTAGAATGGCTGGATCATATAGATTTTTGTCTGCTTGTGATGGAGAAATATTCACATACTGAGGCATGAAGTCATTTTTTCTTATGGTTCATCTTGAACTGTGTGTGAACTAGGACAGCCTGTCCAGCCCTCACAGCTCATCTGCTTTAACCATTGAGGTAAAGAGAGTCTGTTTTGAAGATAAGAATGAGTAACTCCCTTTTCATGGCATCCATGTTAACACTCCCTCCAAGATAAGGTTCCCTTCCTAGACACCAGGGTCCTGCTGTCTCACTGCCTATGTACTAAGTCTGACTCTCTTGAAACCTTGAAGGAATGCACCCTGTCGTGTTGATGTGTGAGCTCTGTTTGGATGAGGTGTAACAGGATGCTGGAAACCATGCTTCAGCAGAGCAGTTCCTCAGAGCTCTCTGAGAGATTGCCTTCCCAACTATAGCCCTCAGTTTGGTTCAAATTAAATTCTTTTCTATCCCTATGGTAGGTTCTTTATTGATTGCTTCTGTGGACACAGATTTCCAGCTGTCACATTCACATATGACTACCAGAAAAACCAAAGCTCAAAGATTAGATATAGCTTTAAATTCTCATTTTCCATTTCAATTAGTTTCACAAAACATTTTTTTTCAAGTGAATACGGTTCATTCCCCTTGATATCATCCAAAAAATAAAATTTTCTCTGTTTTGGGGCACATAGCCTGGTGGGCTACAGTCCATGGGGTCGCAAAGAGTCGGACATGATTGAGCGACTTCACTTTAACTTTTCACTTTCAAAATATTACATGTACATGTGATTTTTTTATTATATATCTCGTCAAATATAATTGAACGTTTTTTGCACTTCAGACACTGTTTCAGCTGCTAGGGAGAAAATGGTGGTCAAAAGTGTTGTGAGTTGAATGCGTTTCCCTGTTTTCAAATTCCTCTGTTGAAACCCTAACCCCCAGGACCACAGAATGTGACTGTATTTGGTGAGAGGGCCTTAAAGAGGTAACTAAATTTAAATGAGGTCATTAGGGTTGGCCCTAACTCAATGTGACTGATAGCCTCATAAGAAGAGGTGATTAGAACACAGAGAGCATATAAAGAGACCAAGAGGTGGAGAGATTTAGCAAATAAAAATACAAGACACCTAAATGCAGTGAATTTCATAGAAACCGTGAACATTTAAAATATATATTTTAATACATAATCTTATATAGATACATATTTTATGCATTTAACTATACATATCTTACTATGTACAGATATATTCACATGTACACACACGTTTCACTTTTTACAAATACTGCATGTTTTACGAATTGATTTGTGACCACTGTGTTATCAGTTGATGTTTACCATATTTTAGGAAAAAGTATTTTTAAATCAAGGTGTGTACTTTTTTAAAACAAAATGCTATTTCACACTGAGTAGAGTACAGCATAACATAAGTTTTTTTAAACATGACTTTTATATGCATGGGGAAGCTAAAAAATTTGTGTATGACTCTTTTATTGCCAGTTTTTTAAAAATTGGGTCATCTGGACCCAACCAGCAATATTTCCAGGGTATACCCATATGGGTAATCGTATTTGATTAATGAATGAATCTCCAATTTGGGTCACATCACTTATTTTATTGGTTGCACTGTGCAGCTTGTGGGATCTTAGTTGCCCCATCTGGGACAGAACCTGCACACCCTATAGTGGAAAAATGGAGTCCTAATGACTAGACCACCAGGGAATTCTCCATACCATTTAATAGTCATGAAAAAGCATCATTTTCTTCCCTGGAGAATTACCCACATTCTGGTTTTGGCTGATGGCATTTTCAGTTGAAATGTGAATCTATCCTTTATACCAGCTGTGAGCTGGGAGTTGCTCTAGAGGCTTGATTATATTCTGATGCAGTTTGTCATCAAGGCTATGTTCCAGGAAGTGTCCTGTATTGCTTATCACAGCACATTGGGTAGCACAAAACCTGGGTGTCCCTCATCAGTAAGGGAAGAATGACAATCAGGTGATGTCAACCTCTTCCATCAAAGTTTCACCTGACAGTTTCAGTCCTCATTAATTTCAAAGCCAGTAATTTCATTTGAACTCGTAAGATAGTGATATCTCCAATTCTGTTCATCTTCCTTCATTTATTCCTTGATCCATCTGATAATTTTGCTGTTTAGTTTCTTGACTTCCATCCCCCTTTTACTCTACTTCAGTTGTTCATTCCCACAAACAACCCTCTATATCATTATCACCAACATCATGAAAGTCCATGATCTCAGTTTCAAGCATTCTGTTCTGCAGCAACCACTTTCCATCTTGTTTCTCCAGGTTCATTTTCCATCTTTTAGCTTCACCCAACTGTAAGCATTCATCAACCAATTATTACTTCCCATCCCATTCCCTTCCCTCTAGCAATGCAGGTGTCCTTGTTGTTTTTTCAATTAAGAACTTTTTCTCATCAACTCTGTTGTATAACTCTAACGTTCTACCACAGAAGAGTAAAGAGAAATGATCATTTGGACGATGTTACACGACATCTCAATAAGCTGGGGGAAGAGATTAAAATGAGCATTTCCCTTTATCATTACTCAATGATCTACTTTATCTGTTATTCTCTTTTTCTTAAACTCTACTTTGTTCTATAATAAGATAGCTGCCCTAGAATTCTTGTGTTTCTGTTTGTACAGAGTTTTTGTTCCCCTCCTTTTACTTCCAACTTATTTGTGTCTTAATGTTTAAAGTATAACCCTGGGCAGAAAATATACTTACCTACATTTCCTTCCCAGGTCACAATCTCTGCATTTTCAGTGGAAACAGACACAAGAAGGGTGCTTCTTATACACCCATTAATATTTTAGTACTTTCTCTGGTTGATGGTTATTTTGTTGTACTTTCTTTGTGGAAATTCACCTTGAGGCTCACTTATGAAACATGTGCTTTTCTGACTATATATTTTGCTTTGAAAAGTTTACTTCAAAATTATTCAACAGTAAAGTCATTTTATCTGCTGGCAATAAGCACATAGCTATAAATGCATTTCAAAACCTTCAGGCTCCACAGAGGCTCAAAGTGCCGCTTGAACCGGAAGAGACTTCTGAGTCTGGAGGGATTCCACACACTATCTATGTCCTGTGGTTAAGATGATTCATCACCAGGGATGTTTCTGTCAAGCATTTGGGGGTTGGAGGCCAGTGGCTGTTGATCATTGTTCTCCCCCAGGCTGTGTCGGATCCCATATCCAAAGTATACAATAGATCCTAGTAGGGAAATGAGACAGTGAGAAGGGACAGTAGGAGCTCTCCTCGTTTATGAAAGCCCAGCAGGTGTCCTATGCCTTCTGTCGCATCTGACAGTTTAGGGGAGAGGTAGTAGGAAGACTGACTACTTGGGTTCAGTCACTCAAGGGGCCTCAGTTTCCAAGAAAGTCACTCACCAATCCCCATCCAGACGCCAAACTGGACCCAGGTCCTAGTGTTCATCTGCATCATCAAGGAAACGTTCACAAAGATGCTCACCAGTGGGAGGACGGGCCAACAAAGGACCTGTGGACAAAGTCAGTTCATCCATGAACACACCCCAGGCATCTGAAAGGGAGACCTTACTCCACATGGGCAGGAAGAATCCAGTTCAATGCAGGCTGTGTGTTCAGTGCCTATTGAGATTGTGTGTGTAAAGCGCTGAGTGTGGATCAGGAAAGGGTCAATTGGTTTTAGCAACTTCTCTTCTGGGAGCAACTCTTGATCCAGCCTACAGCATTTAGATGTCAGAGCAGGCAGCCTTCATTCCTCAAGGTGGAGAGCTTGGACACATAAGGTCACCTACCTTGCAGTGAAGAGGAGAGGTGTTCTGGGGCTGCCTGCAGATGATGGCCGTGACCCCAATGATGAGCAGCAGCAGCGCAGCCACTGTCGTGTACACTGGGAGTCCAGAGAACACCTGGCTGGTCCACTGGGCCAGGATCAGGCTCAGGATGGTCAGCAGGAGAACTGCAGGGGTCAAGGTGGAGGGGAACAGGCTGGACTCCAGAAGACAAAGATGCCAGGATCTTGGGTCACACCTATCTCAAAACTGCCCACCTCAGGAAGGGCCATCTTATCTCCAAGATTCCTTCTCAACTGCCCAAAACACACCACCCTCCCCATACTGCCAAATTTAGAATGCAGCCAAAGAGAAACCCCACTGCTCACCAAGCAGGAAGGCACATCCATAGACAATCTGCCCAGATTTCTGAGTGGGGATGGTGCTGGAAGGGAACCACAGAGTCTTCAGAATCCTTGAATTTTCTGCTTCAGGTACAGATTGTAAAGGGCTTGCTTCCAACTGAAAAATATCTATTTCCTCTTCTGCTGTCTCATTCTGGCTTAAATTCTGTTCTGGTTGATACCTGAATTAGAAAGATTAAGGCAGTATTAATAGTATCCCCTACTCATCCAACATCACCCAGATGATTCCATCTCTTTCCCAAATTAATGATCATTGGTCATTTTGAAGGCAGCGTGAAGGCAGAAGAGGATCATCTTCACATCAATCCCCACCAGTCAGACCCCCAGTCTACATGTCGTGGGGTCTCACCTGAGGACAAGCACAGAAAAGGCCACCAAGGTGTAAGCGAGCAGGGTCCCAATTGACATGAGGTCCACAAGATCAGTGAGCTCAAAGAGTAGTGCCATGACCGCTAAAATCAGGGCACAAACAAAGTGGGGGGAGAGAGTGAGACCGTGGAAATATGCAAGTTAAGAAAATTGATCAAAGAAGTTTCGTTTATTTACCTGCAAGACTTCCAGAAGCCAAGATGGTCCAGATGGCGGTTCGTGTGCGGGTGTGGATTTGGGCAAGTCTCCTGAAAAGGAGCCCATCCTCTGCCATTGTGTAGATCACACGAGGCATAGAGAACATGGTGCCCAGGAGGCTGGGAGAGAAAGTGGACACGTGGGAGGAAGGGGAGAAGCAGGAGAGACTGGGGTTTCTGCTCCCTAGTCTACATGGGGTAACTGTCTTTCTCTTTTGTTTCTCTAACCAAGGCTACGATGGCTGATAATCTGACAGAGGATGGAGAAAAAGCTTTGATACTGACCTGGATGAAAGAGCACAGATGGTGATAGCAGCCAGGACATATCTTAGATGCCTCCACCCAACATCAAGGAAAGCCTGCAGCAGGAGGCTCTCAGGCTGAATCTGGTAATAGGGCACCAGGAGGGTGAGTGCCACCGAGACACCAATATACATCAAAAAGCAGATCAAGATCGTGATCATGATGCTAATGGGGATGGAACGCTGAGGATTTCTGGCTTCTACCCCTGCAAGGTGGGGAGAGTATTAGGTCAGTAAACACACTGGAATGAAAGCACAAAACCCAATTTCCTCTTGCAGTTCCAAACACAGTCTAACCTTCTCCCAACCCCTGTGCCCAAGGGTAGCCCAACCTGCCCAGACCCTTGATAAGATGACAAAAACCACTACAATACTGTAAATTAGCCTCCAACTAATAAAAATAAATGGGGGAAGAAAAGGTGCACAGTGACCCTGTTACCTGTAGTAGCAATGACATCAAAACCAACAAAGGCATAGATGCATGTTGCTGCTCCCTGGAGAATCCCTTCAATGCCAAAAGGTATAAACCCTCCAGCACCCAGAGGTCCCAAGCTGTGATGAGAGAAGGAATGAGGAAGAACATGGGTGAGGTAAGTTCAGCCATCTCTACTTGTATCCTCAGTTAATATCACAACTCCTGGGCTCCACGACCCCACCATTGGATCCATCAGCCCCAATCTCTTTGGTCCCCACCATCTTCCCAGCTCTGCACATCACACACATAGACATTACTCAGCCAAGAGTACTCTCCTAACCTAGAGGTGTCAGTGGATTCAGATGTGTTCAATGTGTAGTCCTGTTCTGTGAGCTTCCAGTTGTGCAGGTCTCCCATAATGAAGCCAGAGATGATGATGAAGATGAGACCAGAAATGTTCAAGCCTGCAAACACTTTGTTAAGCATGACTGATTCTTGAAGTCCCAGAACCAGTAGTCCTATGGAAAGATGGAATATGAAACATCCAAAATAACTAAATCCATAGACATACAAAGAAAACAAGTGGCTGCCATATGCTTGGGTTTACGGGTGGGTGAAAGGTAGACAGTGACTGCTCAGTGGGTACAGGGTTTCCTTCTGTAGTGATGAAGATGTTTGGAGCTGCATGGAGGAGATGGTTGCACAACATTGTGAATATACTAAGTGCCACTGAATGGTATACTTTAAGATGGCTAATTTCTTTTTGTGGCGATCATCTCACAATAAACACATTGATCAGTATCACTTTATACATCTTAAAATTAAGTAATATTGTATCTCAATTAAGAGAAGCTATGACAAACTGAGAGAGTCAGTTCCTAGGCAGGTTGATAAGAAGTCTAGGGGTCCTCAAGGAGAGAAAAGTATGGAATATTCAAGGAGGAAGAAAGGACAAACATTTTTACTTTTTTTTCCTCTACATTCCTTAGGATTATATAACAATAATGTATCCTGCCTGAGGACAGTCTCTGGCTAATTCTGTTATCTTTATATCTCAAGAAATCTGGGGGATATGGTAAAATGGTTAATTTTATTTTGTGTGAATTTCCACTCAAATAAACAAATATCTTTAGTCTCAGTACAAGGAAGAAACTTGTAGGCCTAAAGTAAATGATTATCAGGTGGGGATGATTTTGTCTCTGAAGAGATTCTTGGCAATATCTTGAGGCATTCTGGTTGTCATAATTTGGGTGACGGGCATTGCTGTTATCTAGTAAGTAAAGACCAGGGGTGCTAATCAATAGCTGACAATGAATGAAAAGAAAATTTGCAATGAATAAGACAGATTCCTCACATTGAAGACTGATTGCACCCAGAATGTCAGTTGTGCCAAGGGTGGAAAACAATGGTTTGTATCTTGACTTCTTGTCTCTCTTATCTCAGACAGTTCATTCCAGTCCTAATTATCCCACCATTCTGGAACTCCAAGCCTTCTGCACCCCAGCTGCCCCTCCACACCCCACTCTTCTGGTTCTGTCTCTGAACCCTGTCTCACCTGTGAGCAGCAGCACCAGGCCCAGGGCAAAAAAGTCTGGGTGCCAGGCCAGGAAGTAGGGCATATACGGAGAGAAAGTTCCCTGGAATGCCTGAGAGATGTGGTTCCCAATGAGGCTGTCAAAGGCGAGGCTCCAGGCCCTGGCCTCACTGGCAGTGCCTGCAGCAGCAAAAGAACACTCACTGACAAAGAGAAATTGAACCCCTATCATGTACCATGGGATGTACTGGGGGGAAAAACAGACAAAATACCTAACTTACAAAGTTCCCTTTTATGAAGTGGAGAGGGTATATTCTTCCCAAACAGCGCTAATGGTAAAGAACCCGCCTGCTAATGCAAGAGACATAAGAGATGCAGTTTCAATCCCTGGGTTGGGAAGATCCTCGGTGGTAGGAAATGGCAACCCACTCCAGTGTTCTTGCCTGGGGAATCCCATGGACAGAGGAGTCTGGTGGGCTACAGTCCATGGGGTCGCAAAGAGTTGGGCATTACTCAAGCAACTTGGCATGCAGAGTAGACCCAGATGATTCACAAAACAGGTCAACTACTTAATATGTTAGGAGGAGATTAATGTGAGGCCAGAAACTGTAACAGGGAAGTGGGACCTAGAGGACCGGGAGGTGAGGGTGAAAATTTAAGTTTAATTGTAAACAAAAATCCCACAAAGGAAAGAGCCGAACAGAGACTTCAATATGGTGAGGGGAAGGGCCTGGGGGACATGCCTCCTTATCACCCACTCCTTTCAGTTCCTTTTCCTGCTCAGTTCTTGGTTCAGTCATTTAAGGATAGCAGAACTGACCTAACTAGAAGACAGTTATAAGGGTTTCCTGCCACAGTTACCCACGTCCCCCCACAAGGTGGATTAACGATGTTCTCATGAGTCAGTGACGACTTCAATACCCGCTCTGAATTTCCTGATCTTAAGCCCCACACCTTCCCCCACCCCACCATCTCACCGACGACAAAGGACAGGATGAGGTTCCAGCCAATGATGAAGGCGCACAGCTGACCCATAGTGACGTAGCTGTAGAGATACGCAGAACCGGAGCGTGGTACCCAGGCCACCAACTCCGCGTAGCAGAGCCCGGACAAAAGAGTCGACAGGCCGGCCAGCAAGAAGCAGATGACGATCGCTGGTCCAGCCTCATACACAGCCACTTCTCCAACCACGATGTAGACGCCAGCTCCTAGGGTACCACTCACACCCAAGGCTGTTAGGTCCATGGTGTTCAGACAGCGGGCCCTGCCACTCTCAGACTCCTCCCTGGGCTCCAGCGGCCGCCTGCGGATCAACTTCTGGCCAAACTGGTGGACATCCTGACACAACATCCTAGAGAATTGATGAGGCTCAGATCTGCTGAGAAAACGACACAGCAAGCCGTCAAGAATGTCCACCCGCCCTTGGCCCTGGAAGTCCAGTTCCATGGAGTGACGGAGTGATGGGAACAGGTGACAAAAGGACATATTGAGCGAGTTCTCTATCTCTGAGATGTGGTTTTTTAAACCTAATAGCATTGAAACAAGTATACTATCAAGGGTGAAACAGATCACCAGCCCAGGTTGGATGCATGAGACAAGTGCTCGGGGCTGGTGCACTGGAAAGACCCAGAGGGATGGGGTGGAGAGGGAGGCAGGAGGGGGGATCGGGATGGGGAACACATGTAAATCCATGGCTGATTCATGTCAATGTATGGCAAAAACCACTACAATATTGTAAAGTAATTAGCCTCCAACTAATAAAAATAAATGGAAAAAAAAAACCCTAAGTAAATCTTTTAAGATGTTTCAAAGTTATGGAAAGAGTTGCTTGAAGAGAAGCGAGGGGGAGCCCTTATCTTAATGAAGTGTGATTTTATTCCTCCTATCTTCTTCACTGAAAACACACATCCTACTTTCCTGTTGTACGCTAAAATGCTTCTGTTATTATTTCCAGTAGCTTTACCTATATATTTCAAGTAGAATCCTCAACTTTTAAAACCTGGAAAAGCTAAAACATAATTATTTCTAAAGTGTTCATTCAAAAACTTTTATCCTATACCAAGCCAATTTTCTTGCTAACCAATGTTGCAACATAAATTTAGTGACTTTCAGGCAATCCAGTTACAGTAAAAGTATTATGCTGAATATTGATGACTCTGAAGATATGTCTATATTAACAAACTTAAACTGACTTTAAGATCAGATATCAGTTTAACACTGAATATTTCCCAGAGTGTGTGAACCTGAAATTCATTTAGCTTCATTCTTGTATTTAGAATTATTTCTTTTCTTTTCTTTAAGCCAATTTAATAGCGCTCCTTAACAAATCAGCAGCACTATCCAAAAGCAAAGACACTGAGACATACGTAAATCCAGACAGAGACCTTATAGTTTCATTTTCTAAACTTAGCCATGAATCAGCTATTACAATATGAAATTCACTAGTTTGTAAATAACTGTAACAGTAAAATACAGTTACTCTTTAAAATAAATATATTTATATAAAATTTTTATAAAATTTTAAAATAAGTAATAAATAAGCTTTTTACATGATTCTTCCATGTTTTTATCCTCAGTCTCAGAAATTAGACATGGCTTAGATAAGTGTTCCTAAGAGCCCTGGTCTCAAGGTATAGGCAGAGAAAATCATGTTCTCCTAATAGGACTTGTTCTTTAAGGGTCAAAATTCTGAAAAAAAAAAAATATATATATATATATATATATTTATATGTATATATTAAAAGCAAATTTCCTCTAATTGCACATGCAAAAAGAACCAGTATTTTTTTCTTCATTTCAAAAGAGTTTTTAATCTTAACAAATTTTCTCCAGAGTCCAGAGAATATTGTGGCCACACAATGTTAGAATAGAATATCTTCTTTCATTTCTGTAGTCATAGTTTATAGGTTAATTCTAGACCAGAGAGTCCTCAAATTGGCCCTGCTAACAGGAGGGAAGTGGCTGATAAAATGTTGTACCAGCAAAGACTGTTTCTCTGGAGAGAAGGGGGTCTTTTTTTGATCTTAAGAATCTGAAGCAGTAAGGAAACTTGCAGGAGTTGAGGAAGCTTGGTTCCCCCCCTGAGAACTGGGAAAAATTAGAAGGGGATCATTTAGAATAAATAGGACATTTAACCTCAGTTTATTTTCCCATCCATGGCAATAAAGATTTAATTGTAAGATACTATAATATTATAAGATAGTATAATATTACAATCCAGAGACTCAATTTTTTAGGTCATTTTCCATCCCTCAATGTAAATAAACACCAGTAATCATTAAAACAATTCTAAGTTTCCTCTTTCTTGGCCCATGTAGCTTAAAAAGGGCAATGTCCCAGGTTGAACAACCTGCAACCAAGAACACCACTCCTAGAAATGAAGTCCAGCCTCCAAGAAACAGGACTTGGGGGCCCTTGAGGGAGACCCAGACTGTCCTCTGAATTTCCTTCGAATCCTGTGCATGGTGGCATTTTGAGAGTCCTCTACTCTCCCACTGACCAGACCAGAAGTCTGTAGTTGACCCAGGGCCTCCCATGAGGGGTGCCCAGGTGCGGGGGTGGGGTGGGGGGTTGAGGGAACAGCTGAACCAGTGCAGGTGTCACCGGGGTTCCCCTCGAGGAGGGTCTGTCATAGCTGTGAGGTCTGCGTGATCGTTGCAGTGCGCGGGCTGTCGCAGCCTGGAGTGGCGGAGAACTGCTGGAGGAACTGGCGTTGGCCACAAGGGAGAAGGCCACGGGGGTCAGGACCTGAGGGCCAAGTGGTGGGAATAGTCTCACAGGGGATTTGTGGACAGCAGAAGTAGCCCCAGGTCTATCACCCCATTTGTTTGGTTTCTAAGGTAAAACTGAAGGGGACATGAGGCTTAGGCGAAACCTTGCTTCTCAACTAGATTAATAAATTCTAATTAGTAAATTAGTAAAAGCAAGTAAATTCTGTACTTCTCAAGTGAAGAAAATCAGAGGACAAGAAGAGTTTGCCTGCTGGTGGGTTGCTTGGGGAGAAAGACATGGAAGACTGACTGTGGGGCCTGGGGGTTGTCATTTTTCTACTCCTGGGAAATAAAAGTGCAGTGTGTACCAGGGAGCAATTTGCTGGAGGCAGTGGCAGGTGCCAAGCTAAGATCCCCGGTGCGTTGCTCTCAGTGTTGACGTGATGGGCCCAGGGCATGCTGGGAGTTGTAGTTCCTGCAGAGCCAGCGAAAGACAGAGAGGAGAGAGAAGAACATGACCTGGGCTCCTTCACTTGAGCGGACCTGTAGCCCTGCGGATCTTGGAAGGAGAACAAAGCAGAGAGTGACAGCAAGCAATCTCATGGGAGAGGGAGAAACTCAGAGGTCTCCAGCCAGCAGTCTGGGGACACCTGCAGTTTACCTTGAAATCCTGGGTCTCAGCATCAGACGTTCCCGGAGAGAGTCAGCTGTGAACGGTGGCTTAGTTCTCTGCCCTGGAATTGGACCCGGGTGGCCTGTGTGAAAACCAGGAATCCTAGCTGCTTGTCTACCAGGGGCTAGAGGCTAGAGACAAGGTTCCTCTGGCTCTCATCCCCGTTGATAAATTCATTTCTCAAGAAGTCAAAAGCTGTAAAAAAAAGAAAAAAAAAAAAGAAAAGAAAAGAAAAAATAAAAACAAAACAAAGAAAAACTGTACGAAGTACAGACACAACCCAACAAGCCAGAGGCACAGAGAAACTGCTTGCTCAGTTCAGACCAAAGTGAGGCAGAATTACACATCTGGAGAGAAGAGATGTGGGCCTTTCCCTGAGGAGGAGGAGCCCCATAAAATGGCAGTTAAGTCATTCACACAGGGCACTTCTTCCAGATTTGTTCACCTTTGGCCAATTGTCTGGTTTCTTTTTCCACACCTGCTCTGCCCTAGGATCCTCCCCAAAACACATGTGCAACTTCTCTCCAAGATGGATTCTAGTCCAGAGCCCTGTGAGGGGGTCCTTGGCCTCACCTATTACGGGATGGCACCCCCTTCTTTTTGACCTCCAAGGAGCCTTTCTGGGCATGTGCAGCATCTCCCCAGTCCCAAGGGTGGGAAATATGTGACCTCCTGATCTTTTAAGCAAATAGAGTTTAGCCCTGCCGTGATTGTTATCTTAAGTGTCCACAGGGACAAAGTCCAGCTACTTACGCTGTTCTTGTCCTTTCCATCTCAAAGTTGCTAATAGGAGGCTGGTTGTAAATGTCTAGCCTAGAGCCCACCTGGCTCCTTCCTCAGGAAATGTAAACAGGAGCCTAATTGTGAATGCCCAGCCGGGGGCTTACCTAGATCCTACCTCAGTGCCGTATGGGGCTCCAAGGTGTTATTTCTGTCCCCTGTTTCTTGTAGGCAGACGCCAGCCTCCGTGACCTTCCCTGAGTTCCAAAGGGCAGCTTCAAGCAGTTGCTAATCATGGACCTGCCAAGAAACCAGCTGAGACAAAATTAAAGGGGCCAAAGCAATTTCACTGTCTAAAAATATTCTACCTACAAGAAGAGACCTTTAAAAAGTAAGGTTGTAGTTACTAGCTGCCAGCAGACATTGTTCTGTGAATGGATGTGGCATCCGAGTCTGATGCAACTCAGAAAACTCGTTTTTGCCAATGCAAGGACTTGTCTGAGATCACACCCAGCATCACCTAGCTATTTCCTTGGATGTCTGCACCACAGCTATACTTCATTTTGACTTTTAACTGTAGTTTTCTCTCTAAGAACCAAAGCAGGTGCTACCATTAGTGATGTCAGTGTTTGTCTATGCATACGAAGATGAAAGAATTGGGGCTCAGAAGATCTCCTCCTGACTTGTGGACAGAGTGGAGGAAGGAGAGGGTGGGACAAATTGATAGAGTAGCATTGAAACATATACACTGTGTGCGCTAAGTCACTTCAGTTGTGTCCAAATCTTTGTGACCCCATGGACTGTAGCCCTCCAGGCTCCTCTATCCATGGGATCCTCCAGGCAAGAATGCTGGAGTGGGTTGCCATTCTCTTCTCCAGGGGATCTTCCCGATCCAGAGATGGAATCCGGGTCTCCTGCATTGCAGGCAGATTTTTACCATCTGAGCCACCAAGGAAGCCCCCAAACATACACATTACCATGTGCAAAATAGACAGCTAATGGGAAGTTGCTTTGTAACACAGGGAGCTCAACCAGGTGCTCTGTGACAACCTAGAGGGGTGGGATGGGGGGTGGGTGAGACGGAGGTTCAAGAGGGAGGGAACACATGTATACCTACGGCTGATTCACATTGTTGTATGGCAGAAACCAACAGAACATTGTAAAGAAATTCTTCTCTGATCAAAAATAAATTTTACAAAATCTGAGAGTATCTAAGTCTCTAACGGCCTGTTCTGCCAGTTTCCCCC